TGCCCTGAGTCCCCCCCAGGGAAAAGGGCGGCATATAAATAAACTACTCATAACTCATACTCATAACTCAACTCATAAAATTCCTAGTTCACGTTATCCCCTGGTTTTTTGTTTTTTGAAAAATAGCAAAAGCTTAATGGCGGAAACATGCAGAATGTCTTTTTATATGCTTTTACCCATCACCTTATTTTTTTCTTCCCCTTTTATTCTAGGGTGTTCTTCTTTTTCTGTTTTGGCTACTGACCTACCGAGGCTGTTTAAATGAGAATGTCCTTGGCCCAGAGGGTGCTACTCACATGGCTCTTTACGTTACTCTTCCTGATCATGTTGGTGTTAAAACTGGATGAAAAGGCTCCCTGGAACTGGTTTCTCATATTTATCCCCGTTTGGATCTTTGATACCATCCTCCTAGTGATGATCATCGTGAAAATGGCTCGCCGTTGCAAGTCCGGCTACGATCCTCGCAACGGTTCTCAGAACCTCAAGAAAAAGGCTTGGTACCTTACGGCGATGCTTCTGAAGCTGGCTTTCTGCCTCGCTCTGTGCGCGAAACTGGAACAATTCACCGCCATGAAACTTTATTACGTCTTTATTCCCCTTTGGATTCTGCTCATTGGAGGGATGATAGAACTGGGCTATAATATTTTCTACGTAAGGAGGGACTAAACTTCCCCCCCCCTCCCCCAACATTCCTGAGATTCAACATTTTTTTTCCCCAATAACACCGCAATGAGCTTTACCGCCTCTAAAAGGAATGATTTCAAATAGGCATTTGCTCTGCAAGTTGTTAGACGTGGTTCTTCGGTATGCGAAGCGGGGCCATCTGATCTCCATGTATATAATGTAAATAAAACAACCTCATATTTTCTGTGGTTTCTACATTTTAAGTTCTTGGCCTCCGACGGGTCTAGCGAGCGAGTCATGGGACACAAATTTGCAATTACACAGCCGTACACCAGAAACCTTAGTATTTCTGCTGTCGTCTTCAGCAATTCTACTCGGGTTCACCGTCTTTCCAATGTGTACAAATGCCACAGGTTAATAATTCTGGTAATGAAATCTGCGCTTCTTCGGGGCATCCAAATTGCAGAAGGCGGTTTTAAAAAGGGTATCCAAGAAGATGAACAAATTCTTGCAGATAATCAAAAAAAAATAACAGTAAAATGAGAATTGGGAGGGGAAGGGGAGGAGAAGGGAAAGAGGAAACTCTAGGATAAATGGGAAAAGTCAGCCCTTTTGGTGCAGTAGAATAAGGCAACTACATACAATCTCAACTCGTTAAAGGTAAAGACTTCCCCTGGCCGGTTATCTCCGACTATAGGTATGGTGCTCATTTCTGTTTCTTGGCCGAGGGAGCCAGCATTGTCCAAAGACATTTTCCATGGTCCCCTGGCCAGCATGGCTATATGCCAAAGGTGCACAGAATGCCGTTCCCTTCCCACTGAAGTGGTATCTATTTGTCTACTCGCATTTGCATCCTTTTCAAAGAGTGGTACGGTAGCCTAGGCACGGAGCTCTCGCCTCACAAACAGGAGGCTGTGAATTCAATCCTAGGTAGAGGCAGATATTTCT